AAAAAAAAAAAAAAAAAAAAAAAAGCCACACACCAAAATTACATGATAGAAAGGAAAGGAAACCATGAAATTGAGTATCTAAAGAATCTGAATATTTACCATTAACTGTACCCCCCCCATTCCCTTCTTCTATCCCATTCTTTTCTCTTGCTCTTAATTCTGGGTTTTTACTATTCATAATTTCTCCCAAGTTTGTATTCCTAAGTAATGTATCACATATTTTTGAATTTATATATGTGGAATTATAATGAATGTATTCTTATGACTTTTATGGATTATATCCTTCACATCAATCTGTGTTGTTGCAGGTAGCTACAGTTTGTCTTTTTTGTGGTTGTGTGGTATTTCATTAGAAAAATTACTTCTACATTTTATTCTAATTGCTGTTCCTTTCTGATTTGGAGCAGGTGAATTGTGTTGCTGGTCAGCTTTACTTTTTTTTTTTCCTTTCCCTTCTCCCTTGCAGTACAGGTATTGAACTCAGGGTCTTCACACTCAGGGCCCCCCTTCCCCTTTAAAGTTTTCATTTTGAGACAGGTTCTCTCTAATCAATCACTAAATTGCCCAGGTTGAACTAGAATTTACGATCCTGCTGCTTTAGCCTCCCAGAGTACTTGAATTACAAGTGTGTGGCTATCCTACTTTTCTGCTTCACGTGTACTATTAGAGTTTCTAGAGCAGTGAGGGAAACCTTTTAGAGCTTCCTCTTTTTCTTTTTTGAGACAGGATCTCACTATGTATCCCGGGCTGGTCTAGAACTCAACAGCAGTCCTCCTGCCTGAGCCTCCCAAATTCTGGGATTATAGGCATGTGCCACATTACAACTTCTATTGAGCTTTCAGTGATAACAAACATCTGGCTGTAGCACAGGTGCTGTAAGTTTACTACCACTGCCTTAGAGTATGTGCCTAAGAGTAGAATTGTCACTCTTGAAGGATACTTGCACATCATTTTGACCAGATAGGCCCAATTTTTTCCCCCAGTGCCAGCAATCAAACTCAAGGCCTTGTGCTTGCCAGGCAAGCCCAGTGCCACAGAGCTACATCCCTGCTCCCCTCAATTTTTTGTTTTTGGTACTGGGAATTGAACTCAGGACCTTGGGCTTGCCAGGCAGATGCAGTGCCACTGAGCTAAATTCCCAGACCCCCAAAAAAGTTTTTTCTCTGTATGCTCCTATTGGCAACCATAATATGCCACTTGCTGTCTATCCTCCAAAATTTTGTATTATCACATGCCTAAAATTTAAAAACCTGCATGTTGAAAACTGATAGGTCATCGTGAACTTGATGTGCAGTGCCCTAGTTGCCAGTGAAACTGCACATCATTTCATGTGTTTGACTATTAACATTTTCTTTGTGAAACACCTGCTCAAGTTTCTAGACTATTTTTCTATGAGAACATTGGTTTGTATGCTTGTCATTTTATTCTGTGGCATATTTGTATCAACTGAAGTTCTTAATTTAATTAATTAATTTGGTACTGGGGATCAAACTTGGGACCTTGCGCTTGTGAGGCATGCGATGGAACCATTGAACTAAAATCCCTGGCCCAGAAGTTTTTAATTTTAATGCAATTGAATTCATTAGTCCATTGTGGATTTTACTTTTTTGTCTTAATTTAAAAATCTTCCTCTTCCTTGCCACCAAAAAGCTGCTGTTTTATATCTTTCAAAATATTTATAACTTTGCCCTCCCCTATCTGTGTTAATTCACTACAAATGATTTTTGTGCATGATGTGATAAGGGTTGGATTTTCACCCCCCTGTTCCTCAAAGTAACTGCGTCATTTATTGACACATCTTTCCTTTTACCCTTAATACACAATTCTAGATAATGTTATAAAATCACATCTTCCAGGTATATGTGTTCACACAGACAGATGTACACAAACGTGCATACCACTGATGCCCCTCTCCAAGGGTCTTTTTATGTTATTCATAACCTCACTATGCAGTCCATGCTGACTTCAAACTCTATTGCCTCAGGTTCCCTAGTGGTCGGATTATAGGCTTGTGCCACTAGAACCAGCTAACCTTTTTATTTTCATTGGTTTAATTGTCTATCCTTGAATTAGTATCACATTGACTTAATTTTTATTTGCTGTTTTTACAATCAAATGTATCAAATGCAAAGGTACAAGCTGGAAGTAAGTCTATAGTCTGTTCACTACTCATCCTGTTGTCATACTTGATATCTCTAGTCTCTGAAAAGATTCGTATGTACTTGGGGTTGGGGATTTAGCTCAGTGGCACCATGCTTGCTTTGCAAGAACAAGGTCCTGAGTTTGATCTTTGGCACTGCAAAAAAAGGGGGCTAGGGATTTAGCTCAGTGGTGCTGCCATCTGCCTTGCAAACGCAAGGCCCCAGGTTTGATCTCCAGTACCAAAACAAAACAGAAACAACAAGATTCATGTGTACTTTAAATCTCCTTAAATGTTAAAAGTTTATTTTTCTGCTATGAGATATACCAGTACTCTTAAAAAATTATTCGTGTTTTCAACATTTGTTTATATCTCATGTTTATCTTTATTCTGTGTTTGTTACTAATTTTATATCTTAATACTTCCATCACATTTAATCTGTAGTTTCTTTTTTTAAAGTCTGTGGTTCTTGTATGTGGCCTTTCCTTTTGACTCTTGGCTGCCACATTGTTAGATCAAGATCTTATTAACATATTTCCTTGTATTGAACATTTTTGATGAATGTCTGCACTTCTGTCCTGAATATTCATCTTATAAACAACATCTGTGTCAGTTTTCACAGAGTTGAACTCATTGCATTGGTTCTTTTAGGTGTTACACCCTCTTAAAAACAAGAACACCCTTAGGGTTTGTTCTCCACATTCACACATATTTTCACATCAGAAAAGACCTTGATGATATTGAGGATGAAGAATAAAATAATCCCATACAAGCCTACATTTATCTATAACCTTTAAACAATGCATTATACATTTTGGGAATAAAGAGTTTTATTTATCTTGATATTGTACAGAAAATGAGTTTAATAGTACTAACGAAGTGTCACAAAGAACGTATTTGCGCATACTGGAGACCTGACCCCAGGGCCTTATGGATGCTAGACAGGTGCTCTGCCTCTGAGCTATGTCCGTATCCCTTTTTGTTTAACTTTGAGACAGAGTCTGCCTAAGTTGCCCAGGCTGGCCTGGAACTTGTGATCTTTCTGCCTCAGCCTCCCATAGCAGCTGGGATTATAGGCGTGCACCATACCTACCAGGTAACTTTTATAACTTTTTTAGGGATTGTGTTATCTGCTTTACTAGTAGGATGAGTTAATTTATGTTTAAACATAGCATATATGTAACTTTAAAATTCCATTTATTAAGTTAGTCTGTCTAGCAAAGGGTATAGCCTAAAAGTAATGTTGAATTACCATAACTTCATTTTATAGAACAGGTTAATAAAACCAATAGAGTGTAAACTGTTAATGATGAAACTAATAATGAAAACTTAAGAGTTAAAGAGTAAAAAAGCAGTGCTGGGAGTGTAGCACAGTGATGA